TTTTTCCATCCAAAATTTAAGACTGTTTGGATCTTCCTTTAACAGTATCACCCTGAAAGCACATAAGGGACAAAGATGCCTAAATTCCAAGTCAAAGCAAGCAAATGTTATAATCAAGGTAGGTTACCAGATTACTTCCATTTTATAATCTGTTTTTTCCAAGAGAAATTTTTTGAAAAAATAAAGACAACTGCAGAATGATTCTGTTATGATCCTGTGTGAAGTGTTCTGATAAGGGGTTTTTGGTTATAACTAGCTTCCCTTTCCTGCCATACGTTTTCTCAAGTCAACTCTTAGATCACTGGGAAACAAGAACAGATCAAGTTTGTAAAAACTCTCATCTTCTCATTACAGAAAGTTGAAAGAATGAATTTTTTGAAATATCAGAACATATGAAGTCCTAGGAAAGAGGATTTGAAAACCTAGAACAACTGTAACTGTGACTACTGAAATGATGGGAGTTCTTAATAGGAAACCGATTTTCTGCTGCCTGTTGCAATGTACACTCATGCATTTCAAGGTTTAGGAAACTTTCTAGGAGGTTTTATGCTTATAACTATTCTGCTGTGGCTATAAAAACATCTCTGTCTCTAAAAGTTATGTCTGTACTTGATCTATATATTTCATGTTACACTATAACATTATTACTGGAGTCAAGACCATGGCTTGTAAGTCAAAAGCACCCATGTGTGTAATAAACATTCCTGAAGTAATTTTTTATTCAAATCCACATTTCTTTCCCCCCAAATTATATATGCATATAAATGGAAAAAGTTTTTATATATCACCTTGTTTTATTTTTTTTTAATCTGTAATTCATGAAATATACTATGAAGATAATTATAAGGTAAGGGTAACTCGTAACAGTGCGAATATTTTATAACTGAATTAGTAGCTCTGATCTTGGTTTTTTTTTTTTTAACAACTTGGCTTTTTTTTCATTGAGATGTTTTGAAGCAATTAGGATATATGTGTTTACCATGAATTTTGGTTTATCTATTCTTATAAATTATAGCAATATTTTGGACATATTTTAAATATGAAATTCTTTGTCTACCAAAGTAAATGTTGAAAAATAAATATATATGCTCATCTGGCAATCACCTTTACTTTGTGATTCTTTTGCTTAGAAAAATGTCTTTTTTTAAGTCATGCCTCTGTGATAAAAGGTAGGGATATCTAAGATAGTTTCACATTGAAAAAAATCAAAATCATTTTTCTCTAATAAACTAGCAAAACCCTTCTTAAAACAGAAACAATCATATGTTATTCAGAAATGTAAGATTCTTTAAACAATTTCACCTTGTATTTCAAGAGGCATACAGCCACCTGTCATTACACAGAACTGTTCTGAAAACATATTTTAGAAAGTAGTTGTGGAGGACAGCTATCTCTTTTTTTAAGGGGACTTCCTAGGTTCAAACTCCGTCCTTACTCAGGGAAAATTCCTTATTATGTGAGTTTGGAAGGAGGCCAAAAGGTAGAAGCCAAAGGAAGGAGTTCCTCCCTGGTAGATAGAATAAGGTCTCAACCAGACCACTCCTTCCCTAGACTTTGACTATATCTAGCACCACAAAGATGCTATCACCAAGAAATGTTTAAAGAGGCAGTACTGTAAGTCTTTTAACAGTGGATCCTAACACGTTCCTGTAACATGACTTAGGCTAGTCCTTCCTGCCACCTAGCAGCTTTAGGTTTTTCTACATTTTTCAAGTCTAATTCTTCAGTCTTCCTGTAGATTCTTTAACTATCAATCAAATTCCTTTCCTGCAGAAGCTAGCCAGAGTTAGTTTCCCTGCATGTATCCAAAAATCTCAGCTGTTACAGCACTCTTTATATAGACATCTACACATCTCAAAAATGAAAATAGTTATAGAATTACCAAAAAAAATCGGGTATTTCTGTTTATCTGAAAACAAAAGGACAATTTAAATTCATCTTTTGTGTATCCTTCTCATTGATATCAAAGAACCAACTACAAAGCACATCAGAGAATGCACAGAAAATAGCAGAGGAGGATGCCTGGAACGCAACAGGCCCTCCTACTGACTAGCTTTTTGACTGGTGCCTATAAGCAAAAATGAGAAACCAAAATGTTACCTAGGGGATTTGTATATAAATTTGTATATTTATTCCATGATAATATAATATATAGTATAAATGTTATATATACATGTACCATAAATCTATAACTTTCTGCATAGAAATGGGACTTCTATATGAATTCCCTGGATAGTTTTAAGACCTGCATCTATTATTTGGTATTTGCAGTGATTTTTTTGGATTTATTTTTATCTTTAAAAATAAAAATTCACTGAGTAAGGGCTATATGATAAATTTGGTATTTTTTAAAGTAAAGCAGTATAGACCACCAGTACATTATTAGTGAGAAACAACATATACTTAAATTTCTTCACAACAAAATGAACAAATGAAAGAGTTAACATACTTGAGCCAAGCTCCTTCTTATCTCAGTACATTTATACATACTATTCCCTTCGTCCATTCCTTCACTAAAGCTAATGCCTACTTGTCACTTGTATCTCAGCTTAAATGACATTTTCTTCAAGAGGTCATCTTTGAAACCACCCCTTCCTTCAATCTAAACTAAATTAGGTGTCCTATTTGTTTTTGTAACACTCTACTTCTTCATGACACTATTTGCTGCAAATAAAAAAGTATTCCTGTGCCTGGCAGATAACAAACCTTCAATAAATAAGATTAGGATGACTGAACTGCAATAGAAACTATGGGGAAAGGGACCCACAGCAGAGGAATGCCAAGAAGGAATGCACAGTTGTAGGAAAGTATAAGGTGAGTTTTGAAAATCATAATTAGATTGGTTTGGCTGGAAAGTGAAGGGCATCAAATACATAGCTAAAAAAATCTTGAATTGTGCCCTCTATAAAATGAGTATTCATTAAATGCTAATGAACAAGAAAATGACCCTATCCAAGTTATTCTAAATTATGTAGGGATGATGTAAAAGGCTGGTTGGAACTGGGAAAGCTTGGGAAATGGAATATGTTGCCATAGCTCAGGTCTATCTTTTCCAAACTTCAAGTCATTCTCAAACCATTGTTACAATTTTTCAGCATATTTTGGATCAATCTTCATTATTTTTTACAAGTTCTGTGTACCACCTTTACTTTGCTTACATTTGCAAAACAACATTATTCACAATGGCCAAAAGGCAGAAACACCCAAATGTTCATCAATGTAATATTATTCAGCCATAAATAAAGGAATAAAATACTGATACATGCTACTACATGAATGAACCCTGAAAACACACTCAGTAAAAACAGCCAGATGCAAAAGGCAACCTACTGTATGATTTCATTTATTTGAAACATTCAGTATAGGCAGATCCATAAAAACAGAAAGCAGATTAACGGTTGTCAGTGCCTGCTGGAAGGAAGCAATGGATACAGAATTTCTGCTTGGAGTGAAGATGAAGTTCTGGAACTAGAGACAGTGATGATTATACAACATTGTGAATATACTTAATGCCACTGAATTTTATACTTTTAAATGATTAAAATGGTAACTTTCATGTTACGTGTGTTTTACTGCAATAATAATGGCTAAAACAAGATGGTAATGGTGAAAAGAAATACAATGAAATTACATTTCAAAAAGAATCAATAAGACAGTGACAGACTGTATGTAAAGGCTGAAGCAGAGGACAGAAATCAAGGAAAATGCTAAGGATTTGTATCTGAAGTAGAGGCAGTGAAAGGATCAAAGAAAAAAATCTGAGGTTTTGAAGTTTAAAAGACTAGTACTGCCACTAACAGTAATAGGTAGATCAGAGGAGGTTATGGTTTAGCAAAGAAAGATGCAGGTTTGGTTTTAAATATATGGAACCTGAGATGCCAAATACTCACAGTGATTTAGAAGTCCAGAACTGTTTCTTCTAATTAACCAAGAGGAGCTTTCAAACAGATGGAGTAGTTCTGGATAATGCTGGTAGAAAAGGAAAAATTATATTTCATTATTTTTGTTTATTGAGTACAGTACTTATATACCCAAATAGAATTAATATACCTTGTTCGTAAAAGATTTCCAGAACCAACAAATATAAATCTTTTTTGATGTATCCAGTGCATTCCATGGATTATAAATAACAGTACATTCACACACACGCAACTGTTTGGGATTTTGTCTGTTTGTTTTTTCGAGAGGGATTGGCAAGGCAGTGTTAGTTGCTTCTTCTTGCCTTGTCTACAAATTCTGAGACTGAGATCATTATGTACACTGCAATTATAGTTTCACTTAAGTACCAAAGAAAGATAACTACACTTGCTGGAAATCCTGGCACCATAAATACAGATACAGTTGCTTGGTGCTGCTCAATAAGCTGCTACTATATTGGAAATACCCTGAGTTAAATCACAGACTTTACATGATTTCCCATAAATCATGATTTTGCCTTTTTCTGTGAACTGTTCACAAAGAAAAGACAAATTGTCAATAAAAACTTGAAAAAAAAACTAAAATATGATCTAAAATATAGTGACATGCACTACTGAACTACATCATATTGAACTACATTCTTAAGAGTCCTCACCCCCCAAAAAGACAACTAACAATGAATCAAAATTAAAACTAGATATTTTCTAAAGCTTCTGATTAAAAATGGAACAAAATATTTATAAAATTCACATATACTTTATTTAAATCTCTGATTTATGGGAAGGAAGGGGGATGCACCATACTTAACAAAATACACTTACTTTTATGGTGCTCTCACTATAGTTATCATATACACGTATCTTATTAAGGTATCAATATCATATATACTTATCTCCTATATATATATGTATCTTTTATAGTTATTTCCTGTCCCAAATGATTAAGTCTGTCACATTTGTAAAAGTCCTTCCAAATGCATGAATTCAGAAATACAGAACTCTATTTCAAGGTATGTTCTCTGCCATCTACAGCAATACCCAAAAAAAGACCAGGTCTGTCCCTACCTCTCCCATGACCACAGGCCTCTCTTCAACAAAGCCATATGCCCATGGGCTACCTGCCCTGACTTCATCAAATCCCAGGTTGTCACAAGATTCTGAAAATAAAGTCATCTAAATTGTCTTTTATATGTCAACCAAACAACAAATATATCTATACCTATACACCCATACACACACATTCATACACATATATTCTATTCAGCCCATTAAAGATGATAGTAGGAAACAAAGCAATGATTAGGGACCTCTTGTCATTTATACTTCAAATAACAGTACCTGAAAGTACAATCCCTATCACATTAAATTTCTTTAATTTACCCTTTCAATCCTATCTCTGTGAGTAAACTTCAGGACCCAATTAGCTCTTGTCCAGACTACTGTTAAGAACCTCCCTGGTCTCCCTGCCTCAGTCTTCCACCCTCCAATAATGCTTCAAAGTAACCTCTGACAAAGACTCTCTTCCTTGAGCAACCTTTAGTTTGTTCTTCTGAACCTCTTCTTCAGTAGGTTTCCATGTTTGTCTTTGGAGAATCCACTTTTAGCAAGAATCCTGCTAAGTCACTTTACCAAGAATCCTCCACCCTTTATATCTAATCACTCTTGATATTTGGTCAAACTCCTCATCTCCCACCATCCCCCAGTGATATCACTCTGACTTGTATTCAACAAGAATTCTATTAGGTCAGTTTAGCAAAAATTACCCTACTCCCTTAGTAATTTTCCATCCGCTAATCCCCTGCTCCACCACATACATATATACACATACACACATACACACACACAAACACAACACACACACACACACACACACTCCTTGGCTATAAATCCCTATTTTTCCATGGAGCATTCAGAATTGAGCCCAGTTGTATACTGAGGTCTCTCTTCCCCCATTACAATAGTTCTGAACAAAATCTGTTTTTACTGCTTTAACTATTGTTCAACTCTGGCTTTCTCTAACATCTTCTAAAATGTGAATCTGACAATACTCTCCTTTTAAAATCTTTCAATACCTTTTCATTGCCTTCAGAATAAAGTCCACATTGCTTAGCATATCTCTGTGAAT